GTTGGGGAGGGATCAGGGGATGAGGTTGGAGGGAAATCGAACAGAAGAAAAACAAAACAAAAAAAAAAGAACATATAATGAAGGTTTTCCGGCCAAGGGGCAGGTACTTACACCGTATCGCTTGAACAGGATATCCAGATCCTCGCTGCCTTTACGATATTTATCCTCCATCAAGGGGCTCTGGTCTATCGAGTCATCGCCGTCGGGCTCCGGGCTGTCACAGCCGTTAAAACCTTTCTTTCTTAACGTCTGAAAACACAACCGGGAGAGTTTGAGATCTGGGAGTGGGGATGGACAACACGGGCAGCTGCCTGAGATGGGCACGTCTCCCCCAAAACATCCCCCGGGATCATAAAGACACGGAATTTCTCCTTGCAGAAATTTATACCTTTGCCCCAAGATGTCGTTGACCTCAATGGGGTTAAAGAGTCAGGATCAGGCCCTTGGGTTTCGACGCCAGAGTGTCTCTAATTTAGGAATTACAACATGGGGATGGATGGATGGAGAGAAACTACTTTGCTTTCAAAGGATCTGTTTACGCCAGAGCTGAATTTGGCCCCGTACCAGCTCAGACACATTCGTCACCTACAATTACTACAACGACAAGGAGGGGAAACAAACCTTAATGATATCTGCTCTCCCGCTAAAAATAGGGAAAAAACCTTCTTACAAATAGGAAAATTAAAATCAAAATAATAATAATAATAATAATTAAAAAATTCAAAATAATAATTAAAAAAAAAATTCTTGCCCTCTGGGCAAAAACAGTTGGGTGGCATTTACCAAACAAAGGTCCCACTGCGGGTGCTGGAGGCAGCTGGGGGGTGACACAGGGTGGGGGACACGGTGACAACACGCGGGCAGCAGCTTGCAGAGAGTTAATGAGGTGACATCTCCCCCTTCGTTAAGAGGAACCCGGTAATCACAGGCTGGGGCTGTGCGCAGGGCATGGTGAAAACCCCCAAAGTTCCTCTTTCGTGCTCCGTAACCAATCTGCAGATTGCGTTGCACATGCACATTTAATCATTCTATTTTCAAAATACCAAAAGCAATTAGGCGTTATTATGGAACCATCACTTGCCAATTTTTTTTTTTTTTTTTAGAAGTCAAAGCTACAGAATTTCCTGGAAGTCTTGATCTCTTTTCATGCCAAATTCAGCAGGGGGAAAAAAAAAAAACAAAACAAAAAAACCCACGAGCCTTGACGATTCTCCTCTGTCTTCCTAAACAGTAATAAATATCTCTATTTTGAGGCCAAAACGTACCCTGGAGTGGTTCGACATCTACCTGCGAGCTCTGGGAAACACGGAGCTCGCGTGGGAATTTTTCCTGGAGTGGATAAAAATCAGAAACGTCTCCGGAAGGGCTGGAAACGCCGCGGTTGAGGGGGGGGGATTTGCTCAGCATCCGCCGCCTCTTCCCGCAGCTCTTCCTTGGCGGACGCTTGCACCGGGTGGCAACGCTTAAGCCACAAGCACCAAAGCCGTTTTCCTTCCAGCTGAAGCTTTCTGTAGTATTTTCAATTCAATTTTCAATTTTCAATTTTCAGTTTAACGCTCGTGACGGCGATTTCATCCCCCAGCCACGGCTCTGGCTCGCTCCTGGCCACGGTGGCATCTGAAGCCCCGTTTGGTGTCACCAATCACTCCTGCTACCTAATAATTATTAGCTAATTACCTAATCATAACTCCTAGCACCCTCATTCATGTTACTTATTGTCTCTTTATAGAGAGGGGTAGTGGGAATCCGAGTTCTTGGGAGGACCCCAGGGGTTTTTTCTGCAGGTTCCTGAGGATTTTTCCCTACTATTTTGCTATTTTTATACGTGTCCTTGTTTGTTTTTAGAATGAGCCAAAAAAAGGAGCGGGTGCTGCCTGTGGGGAAAGAATGGCTTTGCCTTCTTTCTCTTTTTTTTTTGGAAACTGCACTTTGCGGATTTTTTTTTTCCCGAAACCTTTTGTTTCACCGATGCAGCCTGTAGATGGAAAGTTGAGCCCTTCTTTAAAAAAAAAAAAAAAAAAGCAGCTTTTTCCTCCTCTTTCAGAAGCAAAATGGAAAATGTTGTTCCATGAGCAGTGGAAGGGATGAAGCTGGGTTTCCTTTGGGTGCGTGCGAAGGGAGACTCTCCAGTGTCTAATAGGGGGCTGTGCCCACCTTGCAGCAGTTCTCTTTGCAGGGACAGTAACTGGATTTCTTGCCTTTGCTCTCCCATCCCCAGTCGGGAAACGTGACAGTAATCCCTCATGTCCCTGGGAGCTCCTCTCCTCTGCCAGAGGCTGCCAGTGGGTTCAGGAGTCGCAGAGTCGAACGAACAACCTCCGTCCCCCAGCACCCTCGAAGACGGGAACCTCACAACTGAATTTTCAAGAGGTTTCAGCCAAACAACAACATCCTTCTCCTTTCTAAAATTTGCAGCAATGAAGCGACCCGGGAGATTTTTAAGCATCTTCCAACTCCCCTGGCTCTGCACCATATTGACTGCCCAAAGATAGTGCAGGGAAGAGCAACGGGCAGACACCACCGGCCACAGCATTTTGCCATTTCTAAGTCCACATGAAACCATCCCGGGGGGCAGGGGGGGGTTGTTCCCTTAACAACTCTGTCGAGGAACGTGAAGAAATGAGGTGAACGCAGCTCTGTTCACCCAGACCCATGAAACCCCCTCCAAGCAGCTCATCACATCTCCCCTCTCCGCATTTCCCAAGCTGTTTCTCCTCTGGGGGTCTAATATATTTGGTGTCTAATACAGCCTCAACTTAGACAGCAGCTGTTGCTTTGGTTTCTTCCCTCCTCTCGGCCACTAACTTGGTAAAATTAGTCATAACTTATCTTGGAGACCCACACCTCCCTGCCAAGCTCAGCTCACAGCATCCCGAGCCGTGAGAGGCAGCTGCTCCCGTAAGGAACCCGCCGGCAGCACCAGGAAGCATCGAGGTGGTTGTTCACGGAGGGGGAAAACCCTTCCCGGGTGCTGCGGGAGCTGCGGGCAGGGAGGGGAAGAAGGGACCAGGGACAGGCTCCAGAACTGGCCCAGGAAAGGGACCGTCTGCAGCGTGGTGGGATGGGAAGCACCAGCTCTGGGTGACTGAGGCCCGAGCTGCAGCAGGACACGAGCCACAGGAGCACAGCTCGCAGCAATTTCTGCCCAAAAAAAAAAGGGTTGGGGACAACAAAATGCCATTTCCAGCCATACCAGTGCTGGCTGCTGTTTTTTTTCATTTTTTTGGACAAAAAGATGTGCGTCCCACGTTTTCTGCTTTTTGACAAGGTGATGTAAAAGGAAAACAATCCTGCTGGAGCGAGAATCAAACCCCACGATCCCTGTTTTCAGGATCTCTGCAAGGTCTTTTAGAGAAGAGTTTTCCTCCTCGTTCCTCCTCATTCCCTTTTCCAGGGGAAAAACAGAAGGTGCAGAGAGGCATGAAACCTTTTTGTCACTGAGTTGCATCCAGTGGAACACGACTATTTTTCATATGAAGATTAAAAATCAATTCCTTCACAGCAGAAAACTTTCAGAGGAGAAAATCAGAGTGAGAACTTCACATGGTAAAAAAAAAAAAAAACAGAACAAAAACTCATCATTGGCCCATCTCCCTCAGGTCCCCCCACTCTACTGGGAGTCCCCCCATGGCAGGATCTGCTGCAGATCCCGTTATTCCAGGCAACGCTCCTGCTCCCGTGATCCCAGCTGGTACAGGAGCAGATTTCCAACCCAAAAAGGGTGAGAGAGCAGCAGGAAACGCAGAACATGTGAGAGGAAACGATGCTCGACCAGGATGTGATCGACTTCCCTTAGAGGAGGGAGACTCAACCACCCCAGGCGTTGGGGAAGTCTGGATGAGGGTGAGGGTGAGGATGAGAATGAGGATGAGAATGAGGATGAGAATGAGGACGTGGCACCGGCAGCTGCCTCTGCACTACGCCACCTCCCCAGCATCCTGCAAAATGCCTGATTTTATACACCCTGGGGAACGACAACCCCAGGAAGGAGAATTAGGGAAAATGACACCACCACCACCACCCCCAGGACATTCAGGCAAGAAAAGAGATTTCTGTGTGACTTCAACTGGCTCTGGAGCATCCCCGTGCCCGGCTAGCTCTGCTCTTGCCCAAGTCCCTCATCAGAAGCTGGCACATCAGCCGGGCTGCGAGGAAACGAGAAGCGACAGCGAGGAGCAAAGCCGGCGTGATCCCAGCCCGGGCGCGCACGTGGCACCCAGCGTGCCTGTCTGGGGGCCTCAGCTGTCCCCCGCCTGATTAAGGAAAACCCCCTCTCTGCATTACGAGAGATTTTCTCAGACTTAAAAGCTTGTAATGGGCAGGACTTGGCCAGGCACGGAGGGAGCCGCAGGGGTTGCGTGGCTGAATCCCACTCCTGACGGCTGCTGCCGGCCCCCGACAGCTGAAACACGGAGCTGCCCCCGCAGGGGATGGTCCCAAAAAAAGGCAGCCGGGGTGTTGAACCCCTCTTGAACCAGGGCCGGGTGCATTCACCCCTGAGCAGCTCTGCCTCTTGATAAATATCCAGGGGGATAAACCCCTCAAGGGCATCCCCATGCAGCACGTGATGGGGTGTCCCCACCAAAAAAAAAAAAAAAAAGGGAGGGGGGGATATCTCATACTTTCTGTTGTTTTAAAACATAGCATGACCAAAATTTGTACCACCTGGAGCTGGTGGTAACAGAGCCTTTGGCCCCAGGAGCCCCCCACCCTGGCCGGGAGGGGAGACCCTGCCTCAGCTGAGCCTCTGGAGCCCCCACTTGCTTCCCCTCCACCAAAAAAAGGAAATCAAGAGGCTTCTGCCTCGATTCACCCAGGTCCCAGTTGCTCCTCAGCCTTTCTGAGATGCTGCCAGAATCCAGGTTGCATCCTCTGGTTGAAAGGGGCCACCAGTGACAGGGAAAGGAGATGCAGGCAGCAGCCCCTTAAAATCCACCTAAATTCAGATTTGGTAGCAAATTCACAGCCTGGGCCTTCACGGCTCTATAAATTCTTGATGCTGGGGAAGATCTGAGGATGCAAAGATGCTCCTGGAGGAGACAAGTTCAACTGGGAGCCACCAAGAAATACGAGATAAACTGGGTCTGTGCACGATGGGGACAAAGCCCGGCTGGTGGTACCTGACCTGGTGAGGGGACATGGTTAGGGAGGAGATGGAAACCTGCCCCAGAGCAGGAACGCTCTCCTAGGGGAGGGATTTGGGAGAGAAAAGAGTAAAAATCTCAGAACAGCCCTAAGCCTACTCCAAGACAAAAGGAGGGTGGGGAGGGATGCTCAAGCGGCCTCAAAACCCGCCTGAGCCCAGTGGGTTTTGCTCTGAGGCTGCTTTGCCGGCGAGACCCGGCGTGTTTGGGCTCTTTTTCTTGCCATCCCCCAATATCCTTCCGCTCCCGATGTTCCTCTCCTCGGCTTTGGATGCAGCTCCAGCTTTTCATGTGGTGCAAACACAGTATTTCTTTGGGTGCCAAGGACTGTGTGTAACTTGTCGGCTTGGGAGTGTTTGCATCTTGGACCATAAGGGAACAGAGAACGCTGCCCAAAATGTTTACAGTATTTTTAGGCCAAGACAAATCTGTTCGACGCTGCGAGCGCCGCAGTCTGAGCATCCCGGAGAGGCTGGGTGAGGCCGTGCTGACTAGCACAGCAGGGAACCATGCCTGCAAAACCCTGGTGTTTTCACGGTGGCTGGGCACCACCTGGCTCAAACGGGCCAAAAAGGACATTTCTGAACCATTTCTAAGGGCTGTACTCAACCGTGCGCTGGCAGAACAGTCTCCAAAGCCCGGCAAGGGCAGGGAGGTGCTGCTGGATGCTTGGCCGTGGCTCAACCCACGTCTGCTGCAGCAGAAGATCGGTGGGAACGGGGCGGATGATGAGGTGAAAACCTTTCAGAAAGACACTTTTCACGGAGGGGGGGAAAAAAAAAAAAAGGAAGAAAAAAGCAGCACGATTTAGGAGGTAGGTTGGTTTCTTTTTTTTTTTTCCTTCCTTCTCCATGAAATCAAAGCCTGAGACTGCTGCCCAAGATGCACTGGAAGGATTCGCAGCCCGAGCGGCGGGGGAAGCCGATTCCTCCAGCAGCGCTTTGAAGCGGCGAAGCCTCGCGCCGTGCTCCGTCTGACCAGAGCGGCTGCCTCCGGCCCCCCCAGGGCCCTCCGCGGGGCCGTGCTGCTCCGCTCACCCCCCAACGGCTCCGCGGGTGTTGATTTCTGCCCACCTGCAATGTCAGGAATTACCCAGCCAAGCCTTTCACCTGCTGGAATGTGCCCAGGTGTGAAGGCAGATGCCCACACGCTGAAAAGCATCAACTGAGCGGCTCCCAGCCAGGGCAGAGGAGGCAACCGATGGCCGAGATGCTGCTGGCCCCCTCCTGTGAGCCAAATGCCCTGTGCTGGAGCCTGGCAATGCTCTGCCAGCACCAGGGATGAGGACAAAGTGGTGGAGAGGGTCAACCAACGGCAAATGGTGGCCAAGCATCTCCTGCGATGCCGGTGTGGACACGGGGCCCTTGGCAGTGCTGAGGTTGGTCAGACTGGACTCACCAGCCTCAGAGAGCCAAAAACTGCAGCCAGAGAAGCCTTGAGCAACTGACCTACCTGTGAGGTTGGCCGTGCTTTGAGCAGGGGTTGGACCAGAGGCACCCAAAGGTCCGTCCCAACCTGAATTACTCAGTGATTTAGCTGCTGGGGCCCTCACAGCCCCATGTGTCTGGAACAACGGCCAGGGGCAATGTCACCAGTTGCACCAAGGCATCCCAGTGCAGCTGCCCCAAGAGATGCCTCCAAAACCATCCCAGGGTTTGCCTGGACCACGGGAAAGTCCCACAAAGCAAACCTGTGCCTCAATTTTATGGCAGTAAGTCAACACATAACTCGAGACAGCTTCAAACTCTACCAAACCAGAACTGAGTATTTTTGTAGGCTGGATCACAGAAGAAGCAAAATCAGGCCAGTACTGCGGGTGGGAGATCTGGTCGTGCCCATCCCCACCCTACACCGACCTCCTGCATCCAGCTGCGGTGCCAGACCCGTCCCTGGCTCCACCACAACAGCAAAGGCCTCACCTCGATGATGTCTGCGTTGGTCCGGCTCTCGTGGGGCTCGTTGTACTCGGTGTACTTGAGCAGCACCTTGTCCATGTCGGTGCTGGCATACTGGAAGAGCTTGTTGGAGTGGTTGAAGATGATCAGGGCGATCTCGCAGTCGCACAGGACGCTCAGCTCGTAGGCTTTCTTCATCAAGCCGAACTTGCGCTTGGTGAAGGTCACCTGAAAGCAAGGAGAGGTGGTCAGGAGCCGTGTCCACGCTGCCACGGACCCGACAGCTCCCGGAGAACACTGGGAAGAGCAACTGGAGGAAGAGAAAAAAGGAAGGGGAGGGCAGAGGGAATATTCTGTCCTCAGTTTCCCCAACTGGACAACCACCCCAAGCTCTCCTCTCTCACCCCCCTCTTCCAACTGGTTCACATTGTCGCCTATTTTAGGATCCTCCAAAGGCAGACACTTCACAAGCACAAAGATGATTATCAGCGTTGGAAATCACATATTGCCAAATCAAGAGAAAATAAATTTCAGCAAAATCCCCAGCAGAGCTACCATCTGTCCGGGGGCTGCGGGTTGTTGGGTTTTTTCTGAAGTTGAATATTCAAGCAGCGGAGATCTCGTCCTCGCTTGCTGCAGCAGCGCTGCGAGCACCCGACCCCGGGAGCTGCAGAGCTGGGGGGCTCAGCCACCCCGAAGCAGGTCAGGGTGCTGCTCCACACCCCTCTCTTGCTTCCCCACGCTTCCCAAAGGCACCCTGAGCCCCCCCCACCAGGGGCCCAGCTGGGTCCTGCCTCCTTCCTGCTGTCCCCGTGACCTTGTCAGGGTATTTTTTTTTTGCATCTCCTGCCCACCCAGGGTCACCGTGCCGTGGCTGCGTCCCCCGTCCTCCCAACCTGCCCCACCTTGAGCTGTCACCAGATCTGTCACCCAACGAGGCCTCTTTTGCTGGACTCATCCTTGCGAGCTGCTGGAGGGACAGGGAGAGAGCTGGGTGCAGGCTCCAAAAGCTGCTCTAAAACCTCCTGCTGTGTTTCCCAGCCCACGTTCAGCTCTCGCTGCAGCGCTCTGAAGGAGCCCCAGGGCCATGGGGAGGGAGCTGGTTTGGGGGTCTCCATCCCGGCTGCAGCACAGCCGGGCGCTGGAGGTCCCTCATCCCCCCGCAACCAAATAGGAAAGGCGTGATGCTTGGCCAGTGCCCTCTCAGCAAATAAAAAAAGGAAAATAAAAGGCAGGGAGGTGACCGCTTCGCTTTAAGTATTGATGTCAGGGGTGAAGCAGCAGCCCGGGGAAGGGCTGGAGATGAGCTGAAGATGCCCTTGGGTGCTGCGAGCGGCTCCTCACCACGTGCGTGCACAGGAGGGCTCGACCCCACTTAGGGCCTCCACCATGGCATCGATTTTGCAGCTGAACACTTGAATTTGCAGCGTTGAGGGAGGAGAGCGAACCAGGCTGCTGCCTTCGCTCAGCTCGAGTTAGCCGTGTTACAGTCACCGTCCAAAGAGCTTAACCTGGAGCTTTACCCCGGCCGTGATGAGCATTGCCAGCAGCACCCAGCATGCACCCACCGGGGTCCCGCACCCAGCGCCGAGCACCCCTCGAGACGGAGCCGCATCCCCCCCTGCCCCGCGCAGTGCGAGGGCAGAGCAGGGGCAGCCCGGGGATGTGCACGGCGCAGGGGGCTGCCCACCCCCTCCCCGCCATCTCCCAGAGGTGATTAACCAGTAACGAGATTCGGTTCTAATCGCCTCATCCCCCGGGAAGCGCGGGGCGGGCACCCCGCGCTGCCGCTCCCCGCCACGTGCTCCCGCTCGCGCCGCGCCGGGGCGGCCGGTGCCAGCGCTCACGCGTCCGCCCCAGGGCCGGCACGCTCTGACACAAATTAAATTACTTGAGGGCCAGCGCTGGTGTCATTGGCAATTCCCCCTTCCCCGTGGCATCCCGGATCCCTTGGCCACCCAACACCCAGCCGCAGCCATCGCCGCACCGCACGGCTTCAGACGGGACCCAGCTGCGGTTTTGCCGCTGCAGCCCGCGGCAGGACAGGCACTAACACCATCCCAGGGCTCCCGGCGCCTCGCCAGCAGCGTTTCTGGTCTCACGTCCCAAGCAGAGACTCGCTGTGCCCCACCGAGACGTCCCCGCTGCTCTGAGTCACACTTGAAGCAGCCCGCGGAGCCCTCGAGAGGAAAACACGTGGCATCTCCGCCAAGACAGAGGGAACAGCCGAGGGAGGTTGTTTCTGCAGCCGCCGGTGCCGGGGACAAAAAAGCACCTTGCTGGGTGCCACGAGCCCGTCTGGCCACTGAGATCAGAGGCAACGGGGTGAGGCCATGGCGTGCAAGCAAGGGGGCAGCTCTTGGCCATGAAGACCAGGAACAAGCGTGGTTGGGTTTTGCCCTTGAGCAGTGAAGGAGAGCATGGGATATGGTGTAGGGAGAAGGGTCAGTGTGAGGTTAATGGTGGGACCTGATGATCTTCGAGGGCTTTTCCCACCGAGATGATTCTGAGATTTTGCCGTTCTAGGGGGTTACCTGCCCAAAATCAACCACCAACCTGAGCAGAGCCAAGCAGAACCCAAAACACCAAATCACCCCTCTCAGATGAGGGGATAAGACCCTCTGCAGACAGGGGCGGGGCAGGGGGAGCACCCCTCTGTCTTGGCACCCCTGCTTCTTGCAGAGAAAAGCGACGATTTGCCATTTAACCAGCCCCATGGCACGAATGCACCAGCTACCCCCGCCCTGTGCATCTCCCCATGACCCGGGACAGAAACCCCAAACCTTCCCCTACTGCCGTGCATGAGCCTCATCTAGAAGAATTAACCTCCTAAGTCTAAGAGGGTAATCAAATCTCATGCTTCAGGGCATAAGCCGATCACCAAAGGGGTCAGGAGGGAATTACTGCCCCACACTAGAGGGGGATTTTTGCCTTTCCCCTGATGCAGACCACACCGGCCGTTGCCAGAGTCAGCAGGTTGGTCCTGAAGGACTGATGGTCTGATCTGTTATGGCAAATCCTCTCCATAATTCCTCTAATGACATTAGTGACTCTTACTTGCTCTCCTCTCCTGGTTTTGGCTTTGGATAATTCTGGTCTCCTCCGCGTGGTCCATGCACCCACCGGAGGCAAGACCCGGGCCGTGATGCTGTAGGCTGGGTGCGAGATGCACGGGAAGAGCGAAGGAATTGGAGAGCCCCTGCCCAACCTTAACTCCCCCCGAGGTTCACTACGCCTTGGCAGCCCCGAACCGCCGTTATCCATGAACCCCACGAGCAGAAACACGGTGTCGAGAGCGGCTCTGCCTCCACCTCCTTGCACGGCTGCCGGTGAATCCCTCCACGCACTATTCCTATTCCCCGTCCCTCTCTCTCCTGACACCCAGCGGGTGCCACGGGAGCCATCCAGGCGCTGGCACATGCCGAGAAGGGTGCACGCTCGCCCGCCGTGGCCAGAGCTGTGAGGTCTACGTTGCCACCAGCAGGCACGAAACCCCACGTGTCATCAATTCAGCAGTGCCGGGCTGCTCAGCTCCCGGGGTGCAGCACAGGAGAGAGGAGCTGTGCCCCCCACACCAAGCCTCGGGGCTGGGGGGGCTGCCCTGGAGACAGGGCCGGGCTGAGGATGCTGCCAGGCCCCGGGTTTCAGCCAGCTCAGCCGACAGCCCGCGGGCACAGCGGCCACGCGGGCACGGGTGCTTCTCATCTCAGATCTGAGACAACGGCAGGAGAGGAAGGGAAGGGGGATGAGTTAAAGTAAGACGGGACATTGGTGAGGCCGGATCCCTGCATCGCACACGTACAGCGCGGGGCAGGAGGGTTGTCACCCCCTTTCTGGAGGTGATGGATGCCCCAGCCCCGAGCAGCTCCCGCTGCAGTGGATGGAGCAGATCAGCAACCCACAGCCTGGAGCAGCCGTTCAGTCACGAAATGTCCTCTCTTCTCCGTGTGTCCTTGTTTCCCAAAGAAAAGGAGCCGCAAAAAGAATTGATTGCAAAGCTTGCGTTTGATGACCAATTAAACAGCTGCTGCTTCGCTGACACCCGACTGAAGGAGGGCTGGGCTTTCGGGAAAGCGAAGCGATCCGTGCCGCAACGCTCCCGCGCTGGGTGTTGGAAGAACCGGCCCAGGCAGGGACACAACTGCTGTCAAGGGAAAAAAACAACGTTCCCCCAGACCTGGGAGCTGGGTTTTGGGGATGACACCTGACAGAGACGTCCTAAAGCCGCGGCACCTGGCCGTGCTGAGCGGCTAAACCCCACCCGGGCTCCGCTTGGCCGGCGAGGGGCTGAGTCCCCAGCCCTCCTGGGCCAAACCCTGCACCAAGGAGCAGCTCAACGGCCCCCAAGAAACGCCTCCCACCGCCTTTGCTTCTGCCTTTGGCAGAGAAATGCCTCTTTCCTTTCCTGAAGGCTTATACAACAGGGCTAGGCTGTGCCATCAACCTCCAGCATTACCAAATATTTTCCGTTCATCTGAACTTCTAATGGGGCTCCAATAGCTGCAAATCCCTCTCCCCCCTATGCAACGCTCAGCAGCGCTGCCCCATAAAACCCACTCCAGCTTCTTTAATAACCCCTAACGCCCCATTTACTGCTAATTGTGGAAATAAACAGTGCCATGAGCAACTGGGACATTATCAAAAAGCATTTCATGCCCATCCCATCCCCCAGCCACCAAATAAAACTCTAATGAAGAAAACCTGCAATTTTCTATTGTTTTGCTGTGGAGCAATAAACCAGTTCATCCAATTCTGTTATTTGCCACTTTTTAAGCATTAGGAATATATAGACATATTTTTATTCTTCTAGAATAAAAGCAGTAGAAAAGAGGTGAGGCAGGCCATGGTGGCTGGACTAAAAGCAGAGGCCGGGATCTGCTGAGCCAAACTCAAGGACCGTGGAAAGCCACAGAGCAAAGGGACCCGCCTGAAAGTCTTGTGGTTACGGGGAAATATAGTGATGGAGCCACCACAGAGCAAACCTGGGCTGGCAAAGCGCTGCTGCTCAGCTAGTCCAGCTCAAGGAACACCTAAATTAGGGAAAAAATCTGTTGGGTTTTTTTCCCCCCTTTGAGATACACGCATGTATTTCTAGACACATGCGCGTTCGTGCGTGTCTAGGGCTTGGCTTCAACAGAGCACAAGAAAAAAAAAAAAAAAGCTTGGACCCATATAAGTTTTCAATTAAAAAAAA